TTCACGTCACTTAGTGGCAAAAGTTCGTGTAACTGTTTATCGAAAAAAGACCCCTAAAAATCAAATCGGCGGATATGTAATTAACCTTAAAATATTAAACGGATTAAATCTGTTTATTTATTATGTTTATTTTTTATGCACTTATAAACAATAAATTTATCCATTTAAAAGTTTAAGATCTATATAAAAGATAACAAGTTTAAAGTATATGGATTAACTCAAAACACAGATACTAATGAATATATGTTGGTATTTGATAAATTTCATTCCGAAAGAAATGATAAGAATGGGAAATGTATGGATTGTAATCGATATAGAACCTCAACAACTTGGTGTCAACCATGTGATCTTCGAGGATGGGTCAGTGGAAATAAAATTATTGACGATTACTTTAAAGAATTTCAACTTGAGACCACAAAATATGAGGATTTGATTGAGTGGATCCCTTTTGATAGATTGTATAACAATCAAGAAAATGGTGATGAATTTTTAGCAACCTGGTTAGATGGTATACGAATAATTTCCATAGATATCAGTAAATACACACAATCACGTACATCACCATGTGCGGTTAACCTTAAAATATTACATAATTTTCAAAGTTCAATCGACACGTTGGAAGAGGTAAGATATAGAATAAAGTTTATATTATTTTATCATTATAAGTATTTTTATTTCTAAATGCTTATAAATTATATAAATTATATTTACGTATTAAAAAGTTTAAAAACTATGTAGAAGACAAAAATATTAAAGTATATGGACTAACTCAAAACACAGCTACTAATGAGTATATGTTGGTTTTTGATAAATTTCATTCCAAAAGATATGGGTGGTATGGAAAATGTACAAATTGTAATCGATTTAACACTTCAAACAATTGGTGTCAGTCATGTGATCCTATGGAATAACTCGGAAATGCACAAGTGGTAATAAAGATATTGATGATTGTATTAAAGAATTCCAGCTTAATGCTACTGAACATAATAAAGCAATTGAATGGATTCCGTTTGAAAAATTAAGTGTCATAGAAGAGATTGGTAAAGGAGGATTTGGTACGGTATTTTTAGCCAATTGGCAACCACAATCTACAAAGGTAGCACTCAAGACTTTACCTGGATTAAAACAAAGTTCTAATGATTTTCTAAAAGAAGTAAGATAAAGTTATAATTTAATTATTTGTTTATGGTGCATAGTATCTTACACAAATTTATTTTTTAGTTTAAAAGCCATATGCATTGTAGATTAGGTGGTAGCAGGCTTGTAGTATATGGATTAACTCAAAATAGAGAAATGGGAGAATATATGATGGTATTTCAATATGCTAATAAAGGAGATCTTCATAATTATTTAAAATCGAACTTTGAGGAACTTACTTGGGAAGATAAATTATCATTATTAATTGATATTTTAAAGGATTTAATTAAAATTCACAAAGCAGGATACATTCACTGTGATCTTCACTGTGGCAACATTTTGCAGCATAAAGAGGAATCATGGCTTGGTTCGTTAAAATCCTATATTACAGATTTAGGACTATCACAAAAGAATGAAGAATGCATTTCAAAAAATGGAATTTGTGGGGTTATGCCTTATATTGCGCCTGAAGTTTTATTAGGCCAGGAATATACACCAGCGCCCGATATATATAGTTTTGGCGGAGATGACTACTGGAATACGTCCATTTTATGGACGTTCATTTGATATTGAACTTGCATTAGAAATTTGCCTTGGAAGGAGACCTGTTTTTGCTTTAGGAACACCTAGCTGCTATATTGAATTGGCAAAATTATGTATGGATTCAGACTTACGAAAACGACCTACTGTTGAAATGATTCATAATAAGCTTTCTGAATGGCATAGTTTTGTGAATCGACCTGATGAATCTAATGAATTTGATGAATCTGATGAATTTGATGAATCTGATGAATTTGATAAATCTAATAAACCGGATGAGTTTGATAAATCTGATAAATCTAATGAAAAATCACAGATAATTAGTGAATTTATGGCAGCTGATATGAAAATCCCAGAGCTTTCAATAAATTTGAAAAAACATTCTGATATCTTATGTCGATATGCGAGTAAATTGATTAGTACACATGAAATTGCTCAGCAATATAAAGAAAGAAACAACCGACTTGATACATATGGTATGAGTAATTATATACACTACTATATCGTAATTATAATATTTAATGTAATATCTATTTATGTAATATAGGTTCCATTCCTATCGCTAGTGCTGACATTCCAGATATAGCATAAGTCACAGACAAAAGAAAGAAAACTGGCCAGAAATCATACAAAACATGTAATTACTGTAAGTGCGATTTTTAGACAGGAAAGGTGTACCTAGGTGTGAGACGAGTAACGTTACCTATCCTGAGCTTAATCTTTACCGATTCAATGTAGTTATAATACAATTAAGATGTATTGTTCCTTGATTCTATAGAGAACTACGATTTTCTGTTTTTACAGCGTTTTGAAATAAATCGGTCTACTAGATAAATAAATTAAAAAAGTTTTACGTAGAATGAGTTTTAAAAAATTAAAGAAATTAAATGTTTGAAGAGGTAAGGAATTTTATGGGTTTTATAATAAATGATTCATAAATAAAATTTATTTTAATAAATATTAATTTGCTCTAATAGAAAAGCATCGTTCTATTATTAAAATAAAAGTTCCTTATTTGCTTTTTAAGTCGCTAAATTTCTTAAGCCACTAATATTGACCTTGATGAAACTATTTGCAATGACGAAATTGATAGAACTATAATAAAATAATTGTCGAAATTGATGAAACAGCTTCCATCAGCAAAATAGTCATCTATTTTCGAACCTGCTCTATGATTAAGCACTGAGCACCCCAATTGTTACTTGAAATACAAAATAAAATCGGAGGCAATTGTTGAGAAAGAGAAAATCACTATCGCGTGATAATTTTCTAGGCAGTTTAGATAATTGAAGGAAGCTTAACAACATGACTTCCTTATTCATAAAAGCTGACGAGTAATTTTTGCATGACCATTTATCTTTTTGACTAGATCGTTCTAATTATTTCATTTATTATAAAGTTTCATATATTGTTTCAGGATTAATCACGATTTTTTTGGCCATTTAGCAGCATTCAGCACTGCGCGTATGTGAGATAATTTGCTTTGTTAAAAACATAGACCTATTTAAGGTTTACGAACAAATTTAAAATTGCTTGTCATCCAATGATCTGATCCAAATAACCTTCTTTTCATCTGTAAAGCACATTAAGCTCTACAAACATAAACTTGATGTACAGTATTATGCCAAAAATCAATATGTAAACGAGGAATTTTTTGCTATTATATAATTAGTTATCACAATGGCAAATTCAAAGCTTAGAATTAGGCAAATTTTATTATAATACTTTTTCATAAATGAATGTTAATTATGATATGCAGTGATTTTTATCATATAAGATCAATGCATACAAGATATTAATAGATGAAGCGGTGTTGTCTCTAGATAATGTAACCTGAATTCGCGAGAATATTATCAACATCATATAACTAATTCAACTATATTTATAATTTATAATAGCAGTTGCATTTTTTAACCTCTAAACCATCGATCACATTTTTCAGATACTAATAGATGCAAAGTTTGGCAATACAAATGCTATTAATTTTTTTGTTAAAACTTTTGAGCAAAACGAAAACTTAATTTGTGTGGCCTTGGATTTTTCATTGCTGTATCCACATGGAAACAATAAGTCTTAGCATTTTCAATTTTCTTTTTCTCATCGTGATTTCGGATTATTGGTTACATTTATGAACATAATTTATCACACATAAAATTTATTTTAATATAATTAGATTTATTAATCAGATTTATTAATTAGATTTGCTTAGATTACTGTTAAACGGCCTATATTGAAGGGGCAAATCGAAAATGTGTACCAGGTTGTGCTCCGGATGATCATGTGGTTACCCGGAAATCAAACCAAACGATCCAACAATCATTAATGATATCACCGATTAAATAAATAAACTATCGCTATACTATACTAATAGTAATTACCGTTATTTTTAATTCATTTCATATTTCGCTCATATTTTGCTTCATATTTCGCTTCATATTTCGCTTCATATTTTACTTCACACTTCGCTTCACATTTCATATTTCGCTTCATATAAATAAATAAATAAAATAATAATAATAAAAATGCAACCCGATTCGTTCAACTTTGCTGATTTATCATATCAGCGGATCGGCGGAATTTTGCCTATTATTTTATTATCATCTGATCAACAAGCCACCCTAAAATCTGAGCGT